ACACACGGGCGCGTGCACCCAAGTGCTCGAAGGCCACGCCTCGGGCATCACGGGCCTCGGCGTGCGCGACAGTGTCGGCCCCAACCTCGTGTCGTCGTCCTGGGACGGCACGGTGCGTATTTGGAACGTGAGCATGGAAAGTTAGAGGATAGATGTAAAAAAGGCGGTTGCCAGTCTCGACGGGGTTGATTGACATGTGTACTTGGTAACGGGAACGCGGTCGAGAAGATTGCCGTACAAGAGCGGTGTGTTGGCGCCAGGATGGCGAGGACGTCACTAGCCATCGGTCGAGCCATTGGCGAATCTTCCGTGCACTGATACGCCAGCGCGTGAAACCAGTCGGTCTCTGCGTGGTTGATGCTGCTCGCGTTCTTTGGGTGGGCCTCGCGCGGGGCAAAGGCCGCCAGCTCCAAGAAGATGGTGCCAAGTGCGCACATGTCGAGGCCAATATTGATCGGCGACGCGTCGCTCGTGTCAAAGAGGCCGCAGAGCTTGACGTCCATGCTGCTGTGGAGGAGCACGCGCTTCGTGTGCAGGCGCCGGTGCGAGACGTTCTGCGCGTGCAAATACGCGGCGCCGGCCGTGATGCAGTACGCAATGTACGCGCGCGCCGGCCACAGCAGCGAGAGCGGGTGCTCGATACCTCCGAGGAACGTGACGAGGTTGCCTTGGTCCAGATACTAGATCGCGACGAGCCCACGACCGCGACGGCGACCGGCGAGTCGAGCCTGCAAGTCCCGTGAGAAGGTGCGCTCGAGGCATCGAGAGGTATACCTCAGAAGCGGCCCCCGAAAGGGCTCCTCTGGCGCCGTTACCGACATCGTGTGCCGTATGTGCCACGCTGCCGTGGTTTGTGATGCAGACGCGGGACCTCTTTGGCATCCCCGGCGACGTCGACGCAAGTGAGCTCCGCGTGCTCAGCAAGGTCTACAGCGCCGGCCTCGACGTCAACTACAAGCTGCTGCACTTCGATTTGACTGACGGTGTCTTTCCTGCATAAGGTTACAGCACCAATGGTGCGGATGCGTCGCCGCGGGCCAAGCGCCGGGGCGGCAACCAGTACGGTAGCACCGAAGCCGAGCGATCGAAGGCCCGCTGTGGGAGATTGCGGCTCGGGATCGAATCCGCATCAAGAACTTTTTCACCGACTATGACCGGATGCGGTCGGGCAGGAGCATAAAGACGCAGTTCATGCGCGCAGTCACGGTACCACGACACCATCGAGACGCTAGCTCCTGCACCGTGTCTTCTCGCTTTGCAAGCTGATCGACTCGCCGTTGCGCCAGAACCTTCTCAACACCAAGTTGGAGATGCGTCTCGTCCTTGCGTTTAACAAGGTGTTCACTCGAAATGTGTCCACCGAACGCGAGCTCGTCAAGGCGCTCGAGGCGACGACGACGATCTCAGAGGCTGCGCAGCCGGCCTTATCGTCGCTGAAACGCTGTGGTCGGCGGCCACAGTCGGCACAACGCCAAAGAAGCGCAAGATTTCTAGTGATTAGTGTGCATTAGTTTACTACTAATCACCGAGTTGACTTGCTATTACCGGTAATTGCGTCCAAGAGGTAGCTCACTACTGGAAAAAGCAGGGCAACTCGCCGTCCCTGCAAGGAACACAGGGAAGAAGCGAGATGAAACTCGTGCCTACCGGAAATGTGGTTGGAGGTATACACTGTAGTAGAATGCAAATATGAAAGTGATATTGTTCGTTATGGAGGCTGGACCATGGGTCATCGGTGCATAGTGTGCCGTTCCGTTGGTCTAGATCCGTAGCCGCTGTACGTTCGCCAACAGCTACTCTTTTCGTTAGCTGCTTAAAACTACTCGGCAGCGACCGGGGCGCTCACAAACGAAGCGACGGCGGCGGCAATCTCGCGGCGTGCCCAGCGCATGTGGCCCGAGTCGGTGGTTGCGTTCGGCGCGTACATGTCGGCGCAGTGGGCCGTGCCTTCGATGAAGATCGGGCGCGCCGTCTTGGTGTTCATGCGCGTCGTGTTTTGGACGGCGAGCACTTGCCATGGGTCGATGGTGCCACTGGGAAAGACGACGTGGTCGACCGTGATGTTGAGCGAGCCGTAGCCACTGTTGATGCCGAGTGTGTCCGGGTGCGCGTGAATCTGGAAGACGCGCTTGCACACTTCGAGGCCGACGTTCTGGAGCGTCTGCGTTTTGAGCGGCCAGAAAGGCGACTGGTTCGACTCGGCTGTCTGAAAGTACCCAAACTCTTTGCACGTCTGGTAAAACCATTGGCGGCTCGAGCTCGTGCCGTCGAATGCCGTCTCGCTGAGCACCTCGATCGTGCCGTTGGCCGTGCCTTCAAAGTTCGAGTCGAGACACGGCTTTTTCGACGCCGTCTGGACAAATACGGCAAGCTGCGCGAGCGAGTCGTTGCTCTTCGCAAAAATGTTGCACACGTCCTTGAGCGTCGGGCCTGCGTAAATACCGTTGTACTGGGACACGCTCTGGAAGAGTGACATGACGGACGTCTCAAAGACCGAGTCGTCAAACTCGTTCTTCATGGGCGTGCACGGGTGGAAGAGCTCGTTGAGCTTTTGCCGACCTTCGCGGCCGCCGTCGAGAAGGCCATGCAGGGCCACCATGGCCTGCTCGACCGCGCGGTAGCACTCGCCGCCGCCAAAATACCGAAGACCGTTCCCGACAACTTCCATGTACTCGGGAAAGTTCTCTTTGGCCCAAAGCGGCGCCGAGCTCGCGACGCTGCCGGCGACGAGCGACGGGTACTTGAGCTTGAACCACGCTGCGAGCGCACCGGGGTAGCTTCCGCCAAATGCGACCCACTTGCTTTGGCCGAGGCCGTAGACGCCCGTGAGGTAGTTGTGGATGCGAGCGAGGTCGAAGAGCGCCTGAGAGTTTAGCTTGCGAGTGCGAAGACAAAAGCTAAGGAAGTACCTGCTGGCTCGAGAGATACTGCAGGTTCGCCGTACTCATGTCTGGCGTCGGATACGACTTGCCGTAGAAGCGGTGCTCGACGGCCACCATGAGCGCGCGGTGCGACTTGGCGAGCGTGTGGATGTAGTTGCGGCTCGAGAGCGCCGACGCCGAGAGCGGGCCCTCGCCGCCAATGTACAGAAAGACCGGGTAGCCCTCACCGGCCCAGAACTCGTCGTTGACAAAGTAGCGCTGGTTCCAGTGCTTGCGCGCCGCGACAGGCGCAAAGTGGTCGAGGACTGCTTCGGTGTAGTTGTGCTCGGTCACGGCCGGGATCCAGTTGTTGTTCGGGTCGTACTGGATGTGATGGGCGTGGCCGCGGAAGCTCTCGAGGTGGTGGCGCGTCGCATGGACCGACGTCAGCGCGCAGAGGGTGCTCAGTGCGAGGACCGAGAGGCAGGCACGGGCCATGATGATCGTTCGTCTCCTTGCCGATTGCCAAATGACACTCATCACCTCCCCGGCTCCAACTCAATGGAAAGTGCAATTGAGTATCTATACAAGGTGTTTGTATGTGAGGATGCAATTGAGTTTTCAAGCAGCCGATTGGCCAGCTGCGTTGAAGTAGCTACGCGACCATGAGGTACGGATGGCAGCGATCTTTCCGGCGCGTCGCCACCACACGTTTGGTTGACGACGTGTTGAGCGCTATAGACTACGGAGCTGCGTTGGACGAGTGACGTGATGATAGCACACAAATACGATGTCCTCGGAGCTGTTTTCCAATCGAAAAAAGTCGTCGAGCGCTTCGAGACGCCGTCACCGTCGTGCATCCATTCCAATTTGGCTTCGACTCAGTTCACGCACCTTCTGCATTCTGGAATCAACCACCATACAAGGTTTTGAGATTGAGCTTGGTGGTCGTGGACGATGATCCGAGTGAAGTTTAGCTTTACACCACATTGAGAAATGGCACAATATGCTTACTCCACCTCGGAGGATGGAGGATGGATGCTAGTATCATCCTACCACACTCTGTCGTTTGCTGCTTCAAGAGGCTTCAAGAGGTCTTCTTGACTCCGTATTACTTATCGTCAACCACCGTTCCTGAATGCCTGAATGCATCCGATCAAACTCCTCTTAAACTATTCGACTCGATGGGTTTAACTTTGTTCCACACGCAGGTGCGCGGTGCATGTGTGCCAGCGAATTGCGGTGGTGGCATTTGAACACAAATCCATCCAAGGAAGGTCGTAGGTACCAGTACTCAGTAGCCGCCCAAAAGGGATACCATTCGGATCGCGGTCCGATGCGTCCCTGTCCATGCAGCTCTCGGGGTGCTGATGTTGCATGGAGCCTACCTGCTATACCATAGTCGCGCTATGTGATGCTCTTCGACACAAGCTCTCGATGGTTCGACGCGCTCGGAGTTGGTGATTTGCGCCGATGACGCGGGCCACGTGATTTCAACGCTTACGCGTAAATCGGGCTATAGGTGGTATATATGGCGTGCAGGTAGTTATTCGTGGCAGTGTGGTCCAGTTGCGATCTTGCCGCATCCGGATACGGCGGCGCTTGAACTTGGGGTGTTGAGTAAACTGCTGTGTCGAGTCGAACTGGCGGCGGCGGATCCTCGGACGCACTTCTCAATCTCGCACCTCGCAGCAGCATGACCAACATCTTTGTCGTCGCGGCCAAGCGCACGCCCTTTGGCGCCTTTGGCGGCAAGTTCAAGTCGGTCTCGGCCACGGACCTCTGCGCACACGCGACCAAGGCGGCGCTGCAGTCGGCCAACCTTGACCCGAAGCTCGTCGACACGGTCATCGTCGGCAACGTCGCGCAGACGTCCAAGGATGCTGCGTACATTGCGCGCCACGTCCAGCTCAAGGCGGGCATGTCGATTGAGAAGCCGGCGCTCACGATCAACCGCCTCTGCGGCTCGGGCTTCCAGAGCATTGTCAACGGCATGCAGGAGATCCAGCTCGGCGACGCGTCGATCGCGGTTGCGGCGGCGCGGAAAACATGTCGCAGGCGCCTCTGGTGGCCTACGGTGACAAGGCGCGCTTCGGCGTCGGTCTTGGCGCGGGCTTGAACCTCGAGGACTCGCTCTGGTCGGCGCTCACCGACTCGTACGCCAAGTGCGCGATGGGCATCACGGCCGAGAACCTCGGCGCCAAGTTTGACATTACGCGCGAGCAGTGCGACGAGTTTGCGCTGCGCTCGCAGACGCTCTGGGCCAAGGCCAACGAGGCCGGCGTCTTCAAGGACGAGATCGCGCCCTTTGAGATCAAGGTCAAGGGCAAGATGGAGACGGTCGACACGGACGAGCACCCGCGTGGCACGACGCTCGAGAAGCTCGCCAAGCTCAAGCCCGTCTTCAAGGAGAACGGCCTCGTCTCGGCTGGTAACGCGTCGGGTATCTCGGATGGTGCCGGCTCGGTCGTCCTCGCGAGCGAGGAGGCGGTCAAGAAGTACGGCCTCAAGCCGCTTGCGCGCGTCGTCTCGTACGGCGTCGTCGGCGTCGATCCGTCCATCATGGGCATTGGCCCGGTCCCGGCCATTGAGCAGGCGCTCAAGCGCGCCAACTTGAAGCTCGACGACATTGGCCTCGTCGAGATCAACGAGGCGTTTGCGGCGCAGTACCTCTCGTGCGTCAAGGCGCTCGGCGTCGACCCGGAGAAGGGCAACGTCAACGGCGGTGCTATCGCGCTCGGCCATCCGCTCGGCGCGTCCGGCTCGCGCATCATGGCGCACCTCACGCACGCCCTTCCTCGCACGGGCACCAAGTACGGCATTGGCGCGGCCTGCATTGGCGGCGGCCAGGGCATTGCCATCATCTTGGAAAACGTCCAGTAAATCCATGTCATGTCTCGTAGTATACTCTTCTCTTGTTTGATGAGCAGCGACATGGACAGAGCATATAGCGCGATGTGGGATCGGCTGGCTTGGAAC